CATCAAAGCTCACAGATGGCATTCGTGCTCAGGGAGGGCTGACAGTGGGAGCTGGCCCTCGTGGAGCTGGGAGCTGGGGTACTGGTCACCCTGGCGGGTGAGAGCCGACCGGGGGAGGCGGGGTGGCCAGAGCTCAGCAGGTCCCAGGAAGAGCCCAGGACATCTGCTGGCCGGTGCTTGGCCCACGCAGCGGTGGGGGGGACAGGGCGCTGACGGTCTCCTTCCTTGTCCCGGATCGTGGGCTCTGCAGACACCAATTCAAGTGACGACGTTCGCTGCCCTTGTTCACTCATTCGTTCAACGGGTGTCCACCGAGGGCCGACGGGGGCCCCACGTTGTGCCAGGATGCAGTGGGGAGCCTGCCAGTCATGGCTGTTCCCTCATGGACCCTGCACACACCCGTGGGGGGACAGGCCACTGTCATTGGGTCACACGGACATAGCAGCCGGAGAGATCAGGTCTGACCAGGCCCCACCAGAGAGGGCGCTGTGGGACCTGAGGATGCGGAGAGTGGAGCGGGAGCATGGCACGCAGAGGGCTGGGCTGTGCAAAGGCCCTGTGGCCGCAGGGAGCAGGCGGTCAGCAGGTGAGGGACAGGTGAGGCGGTGAGGTGTTGGATCAGACCCCGGGTCCTCGGGGGCCTCCGTAAGGAGGGTGGGGAGCCAGGGACACGGCCTGGAAGCCCTCGGCAAAGGTGGCTCCATCTCCATCTCGCTGTGCAAGGTCCCCCCGGAGAGGGAGAGGGGGAGGGACGTCTGCATCGCTGCGGCCTGGGGGCCTGGACACATGTCTCTGTGCATTTCTCTGTTGTCTGCGTGCGACCGTGCGTGCTTCGTGCGTCCATGCAGACGTGTGTGGGCATCCGCGTGGCAGTTACTAATCACGGCCTCTCAGCCCCAGAGCCACCGTTTATACCTGGGGCTGCAGGTGGTCCCTCCGCAGGGAGGGTCTGTGCTCTGCGTGGCTGGTACCGGATCCTTCACGGTGGCGGGCCGCTGCGGGCATCTCGGGCTCCAGAGCGCAGTGCTGCGCGTCCCCAGCAGAGGGCGCGGGAGGGACATGGCAGGAGGAAGGGGCTCGTGGCTCCGGGTGGGTGGGTGCTGGGTGCCAAGTTCATGACACAGGCCCCACCCAACACCAGCCTGGGCGGGGGACCCTGCAGCTGGCCCTGGGGGTCCCTGGCGTCAGGCATCACCTCAGGACCTTTGGCACGTCGAGGATGTGGTATTACGGCCCATTCTTTGGGGAGACTGAGGGTCGGGATGCCCAGTGCTCTGTCCAGGGTCACAGGGTCGGCACCACGTGACAGGCAGCTCCGCCAGGCCCAGGGGGACGCTGCTCATCTCTCCTCCGGCCAAGGAGCAGCTGGGTCAGAACCCCCGGGGGACAAAGGGGGTCAGAGCCCCCGGGGGCACTGCGAGCTGGAGCCGGGCCCACTTTCCCACCCCTGGCTCCTGGGAGTAAATTTATTTTTTTTAAATATATTTTATTGATTTTTTACAGAGAGGAAGGGAGAGAGACAGAGAGTCAGAAACATTGAGGAGAGATAAACATCGATCAGCTGCCTCCCGCACTCCCCCCACCGGGGATGTGCCCGCAACCCAAGCACATGCCCTTGACCGGAATCGAACCGGGGACCCTTCAGTCCGCAGGCCGACGCTCTATCCAATGAGCCAAACCGGCCTCGGCAATAAACACACTCTTAAAGTCACCTGGACTCGCCCTCGCTGGTTTGCTCAGTGGATAGCGCCTTGGCCTG